TCCTTTTGAAAACTATTAATGAACAATTACTTGGTCCAGTAGTTCCCCTTTCTACTGAATTAGGTTTAAAATTTCAAGCCTACGCAGTTGAACATTAGTAGTTGTAAACTTAAAAATTAAATCCATTGTTCAACGACGATAATATTAAATAAAATAATTATATCTAACTAATAAAATCATTTATTTAGCGTTTATTTCAATTACTGCTGATTTAATATTATAGAAACAAGTTTTAAAAGTAGCAGAATTAAAAAAAAACACATTGGTTTCAACAAACTTTAGAAATACTCTTTCTGTGCTCGGATTACCATCCACGTTGATCAATGATCTTACCTCACATAACGAATAAAAAGTAATGAAATATTATTAATGAATAATTAAAGAAAATCTTTCTATTTAAATAAAACAGGCCTGTAACATTCAAAGAAATTTCTGAAACAATGTCTGATATAAATGGTAGACCACATGTTTCGCCCAAAAGCCATTTCTGGTAGATTTTACTTACATTCGAACTTACATTTACTTACATTTTCAGGGCCCCTAACAAAATATTTTGAAGTCAAATTTCTGGAGAGTAGTCCCAACAATTAAAAGAATCTATTGAACTGCATGATTCAAGAGTCTAAAATATTTTGAAAGTAGACAATTGAAGATTATTTTTCTAAGATAAAGTTTAAACGTGTAATTATTAAAGCAAAATATAAAACAACAAAACAATGTTGAATGAAAATAAAAATAGTTTGGTGACCACCAACAATTGAAATCAGTGATTTTTGCTCAAGTCATTGATTAGCTGAATTATTTTAAAGGCCTTCCATCTACAGCTTTACATATTTGCTAAGTTCTTGTTGACACTAATCATTTATAAGTGACTTTGCGATTATGCATTCCAGTTGCATTTGCTTAAGCCATTGCACGAGTTAAGTTTGCACCAATTAAAATTCAGCTGTACTTTCGAAATTGATTAGTGCAATGTTTACACGAGTTTGGTTTATCACAATATAAAGAAAATTTGAAATAAAAAAAATGCCTTTTTTGAGATAAACTGTTTCGTTCAGTATTTTTTTAATGAAATATTGTGGATTTTTTAATAATTTTTGAGGCCCCCAGAAAGTGTGGACCCTAGGCCCGTGCCTATTGGGCCTAGGCGATAATCAGGCCGTGTACGTAATAGTGAAGCTTAATTCCTCAATCATTACTTCTTGCATAATTATCATAAAATGTTGCACTCCCAGTTATCGTCTGAAACAGTTGTTCTCAAAATAAAAAGCAGTATTTCTTTTTTTATTTTCAAATGCTGCTTTAAACTAAATAAGATTAGTCAGCTAGCCATCACTGATGGCATTAAGAGGCACCACGAGATAAACTTTCCATTGCAATTTTCTTTGCATCATCACCACAAGTGGTTTAAAATTTGTAGTATAAAAAAAGTGAGTTCACACGAACCTAAAGTAAGCTTCAAATACTGAAAAGAGATTTTCAAAATATACAAATAAAAATAAATTATGAGAAGATTACTTAGCAATTTTCAATAGGGAAGATCACTTACAGTAATTTGTTTATCTTTCCATAATTTGTTTTCAATTTGATATTCTGAAAATTTCTTTTTAGTATTTGAAACTCCATATCCTATTCTAGGTTTGCGGGAACTAACGTATTATATACTTTAAATTAGTGATGGTGGTGAAATAGAACTTGCGATGAAAGGTTTCTCCCATGGTATAGCATCTTCTTTAAGGTCAAAAGACTTTAACATCATTTTAAACTTAATAGCCATACTTTGTTAAAGCCACATTGACGGGTTAATAGAGTCATAAGCTATACTTTTCCGAAAAGTAGTATTTTTTGCAATAAATTGTTCCTTAATATTGCTTTCAATAAGATATTTTACAAGATTTTTTGAATTTCTTCGAAATAAAATCGTGATTCACTGAAACATATGGGGTCATTAAGTATAAAACGTCCGATTTGAGTTTGGTTTATTATATCTCGGGGCTAGAAATAAGATAATTAATCAAACTATGCACCTAAACTATCAATACAGCATTGCCATTTTAAAGATAGCTTATTAATACCGGTAGCGAAAAAATCTGGAGAACAGCATGCTGGAAATTAAATATTTTTCCTTACAAAAAATTGTCCAAAGCTCGGAAAGAATGGTAATCAGTTGGCACGAGATCTGGTGAGTACGATGGGTGACTAAAGGTTTCCAGGCCCAGTTCGTGTAGTTTAACTAACGTCGATCTCGCAATGCGTGGTCGAGCGTTGTCCTGCAGGAGGATTGGTCTGTCCCTGTTGATCAATCTCAGCTGCCTCATCATTTCTTCTAACTGTTATCTATTGCCCAGGTCTCATAAAACTATAGTGTATAACACCCGCGCTGGACCCCCAAACAGACACCATTAGTTTTTTTTTTTTGGTGTATACTCGGCATTTGGGTGTGTTTTGGCACTTCATCTTTGTCCAACTATTGTGCCGAAGGGTTGCGATTATCAAAAAGTATCCACTTTTCATAGCACGTGACAATCCGGTGCGAAAATGGTCTTGATACCAAAGATCAGCAGGCCTCGAAGCGGTTCCGTTGATAACGCTCGCCCATCTCATGTGAAACTCACTTATCCAGCTTTTTCACTTTTCCGATTGCTTTCACATGACTTAATATTGTTGGGATGGTAACTTCAAACCTTGATGCTAGTTATCGCGTCGCCTCAGTTGGATTTGCTTCCACTACAGCTTTTAGTTTGTTGACATCCACCTTGCTCTCAGGCCGCCTGCGAGGTTCATTTTGAAGATCAAAATCTCCAGATCGGAATTTTATGAACCATCGAAGTACTGTAAGTTCGTTAGCTACATCCTTGCCAAACACTTCGTTATCATTTCGGCTTGTCTGTGCTGCATTAGTTCCATGACAGAGCTCATATTCGAAAATAACTCGAATTTTTGTTTTATCCATGGCTTACAATATTTAACCTCCAGACGACAATACGATAGACTATTAAAAACAAAAAACTGCATCTGAAAGACAGATGGTGTACCTTCTCAATGCAAAAAAAAATAAATAAATAAATAAAGGACGATCGAAGTAAAATATCGGAGACATCTGGTATCAAACTTGAGTCATTAGGTAATCGGACATTTCATACTTAATGACCCAATACTATTGTAGACATGGAAACTGTGATGTTTCTCATCAAGAACGCAAGAGTACATCAAGAAAAAATTTACAAAGGGATTCATTATTAAATTGCTTCAAGCCATTAAATGTTAAATAATAAAATAAGAAATTTAAAAAAATTTTGATTTGTAAAAGGAATCTAGATGTTATAAAATCCGTTTCTAGATAACTACTCTACCGATTGCATTCAAAATTTGATTGTTGTTATTTAAAATTACATACTTATAAAGTAATTCAAAATGAATATACCTTATAAAATTGCATAAGTTAGCAACGAATTTACATATTGTGTGAAAACATTACAATAGCTTTTATATTATCATATTCCTAGATATGCCTTGAACATGCATCTTATTTTACTTTTATTTATCTTATTAACATGCATCTTATTTTATTTTACATAATATACCTCAACTTTTGAATTCATTCCACTAAAACTCAACTTTCACCATCGAAATTTACAATAAAGATGTTTTTGTCAAATCGTCATCGTATACTGAATTGAGCAGAAATGTTTTAAATAATTTATAAAATTTTTTAATTAACTTAATAACCAATGCTACAAAACCTAACATAAATACTTAAAAATTTGTCAAAAATAATTAAAATAAATTTATTCTAATGATTTCTTTTCTTCACTTTCTACAAATTCATAAATGTTTATGTTCGGTTTTATAGCATTAATTATTCAGTTAATAAAAAGAATTGTTATCAATTATTTTACGCACTTTTGGCAAATTCAGTATAGAAAACCGATTCGACAAAAACACCTTTATAAGGGATTTTGTTAAATAGAAGATGAGTATTAGAATGAATTTACACAAAATGAGATATAAATAATAATATTAAAATTAAATAGGGTAAAATAAGATACAATATATGTTCAAGTTAATGTTGTATGCTATGTCTTTGATAATATAAGAGCTGTTGTAATGTTTTCGAACAATATGCACTTATTTCTACAAACATGTGACACAATTAGAATGAAAAATAATGAATTGGGAAAAAAGATGTGTGTTCGTGAACATAATTTGAAATACTAATGCACAATTATACAAAAAAAAAAAAAAAAATGATACTGAAGACACAGCTAAAAATTACTGAAAAATAATCACTTGTCTGTTTCAAATATAATCTAACAAAGCAATAAAAAAATAAAGTATTCAATTACAAATATGGATATTTAAAAATGGATGTTTTAATTTGATGAAGAAAGCAATTTGCAAAAATATGATGGCATAAAAATGTTTTTAAATATAATGACAAAAACAAATGTAATGATGAAAACAATTTTCGGGATGGTGACCATCTCAAAACTTTGCTAATTGATTCAATTTTATTCTTATGAATTCCTATTCATTTTTACATAATACATAGCTAGATTTTTCAACAAAAAATAAGCATCTTTTAAGTACCTTTAAGCACTCAAAAAATATTTTTAATCCCTTTCCAAAAAAAAATAAATTCATAATTAGGATCTGTACAGTAATAAAAATTATTTTTTTCATATCGTTTAAAGTTCTTTATTTTATAATCATAAAATCTAAAAACATTTTCAAAAAATTTACATAATCGTGATAAAAACAGCTAGTTTCAGATAAATATTGCAGAGAGAAATGTGAAAATCATAGATTTTTTTTGTAATTTATAACGACAATTGACATGACAAAGAAAAAATCTCTTTTCAAAAGGTAGAAAATTAAGCACTTTTTACAAACCCAAATAAAAAAAAGCACATTTAAGGGCCTTTAAAAAACGTAAATCAAAAATGAGCACCTTTAAGTACTTTTTAAAAATGCTACGCACCATGTAATAGCACCCTTAATGTCAAAAAATGAAGCTTAGAAACTAATAAAATATTATCTTTAATAATTTTACATGATGCTACATAAGTGAGATTTATAATTAAAGTGCCAGTATATTTTAATATCTGAATTCTAAATTATGCAAATCAAATTCAAATTGCTTGATAAAGAAAAATTATTCTTTTTGTCATCAGTTTTACTACTGATTACTTACTTAATTAATACAATAAAAAATTACTAGTGTGGGGTAGAATTTGTGAAAACTAATATGGAAAAAAAAGCGATGTATGGAAGGAAGAAAACTTTTTGTATACACACGCGCAATTCCAGATATCAACACGAATATCTTTTAATTTAACACAGTTTAACCCAATATACAAAGGTTAGAATAAAAGTTTACATAACATTAGAGAATAGTAAAATATTATAAATATAGAATACTATATTAAATATCCCCATCCAAATTACATGATTTCATACATTGTAAAAAAGTAAACTTCAAGAGTGATTAATTTCACATTTTATTTTTATTACATTGTATCATAATTTACTTAAGAAACAAACATATAAAAACTATACCATACTTTAAATGTAAACTTTAAAACTGTTCTTTGAAAACTAAAATGTTAGTATTTCTTACGACATTTTTTCAACTTTATGTAACAGCTTCTTTACAGTTTCATCCCAATGAGCCTTCACAACAGTACTGAAAAAAAGATTAATATGAGCTTTAAAATATTTTTCAATAGTAATAAATAGGTTTTTTTTTCTTTTGAAAAATCAATGCTTGAAATTAAGATAAACAGATTTGTCAAATTAAGGAAGAAATCAAAAGTTAAAATAATACTTCAAAATCCAACAATAGATGTCCTTCACTTTGTTGTAAAATCAAAGCATTTCTGCAACAACTTATTGTGGGTCAATGGGTGGTGGAGGTCCCTTAATTTTGTGACCAACAGCACAACGGTTTCAATGTGGTAAACAATACACACAATTTTTGCCTTTCAATCCCATACAAGCTTTTAACCATCAACAAGCAACTGTGTGTAGGCCTGCCACCGTCCTTCATAGTTATAGCTCAGTTTGTTTGATCACTCAGACATTGTTGTAAATTTCAGATAATATAAATTAAGACAGATGGATTTTATCAAGAAGCTTAAAAAAAATTATTATGTTTCATCAAAAATATTATCCTAATGAATTTTTACAAATTGAAACATATTGTAAAAATATTCTGTGAAAGATTAGCTAAAATATATAGTTATTTCACATATTAACTTTTTAAAACTGTAATACTGATCATAAAAATGATGATAAATTGAAATGGAGAATTAAAAACAATTTACTATGCTGTATTAAACAAGATAGTCCCCAAAGCCACTTGACACTTGGTTTGTGATGAAATTTAATGCATAATAATCTGAATTGGACATACTGAGTCAAATTTAAACATTACATACTCAAAATAGGAAAAATCACAATGCTATAAATAAAATCTGCCACAAAAAATAATAATAAATAAATAAATAACAGTAGAAAGGAAGAGAGATCAATGCAGTATTTTGGTGTTGTGATACCTGAGTAAGAATAAAAATGGGAAAGAATTTGAGGGGCAAAATGCAGTTGTAACAATCAGTTTACAAATGAGCTACAGTATGTGTAAAAAATAACATCATAAACCAAAAATGCTCACCAGGTTTTGAGACAGTATAGTGATAGGTCACAATATAGAAATCAACTTAAATTTTGATTAAAATTTTGATTGGTTCGAAATTAGCTCTTTAATAATACGATAACAATAATAACAATTTTAAATGATCAAAAAACTGGCAATACCTGAATATTTTGAAAGCTTAAGGCCATACAAAAAAAAATTTCAATTATGAACAACAGTGAGTAGAAATAAACAAACTTATAACTAGAGTGTAAGATTATTTATATGTGGGGACAAACATCCATGAAATGAAAATTATTCACAAAAATAATTTTCTCAGTAAAATAAGGATATGTACTATAAATTCTTTCACTCAAATAGCTTCAATTAAACTTATTTGTTGCCTTAAAATAAGATTTTTCATGAAATATTTAAATAAAAATCAAATTTAAAGGTCTTACTTTTTAAACTTTAAAAGTCATAAGATTTGGAAGTCTAATTCACACACGGGCAGAATCTTGAATTTTCAACAAGAGCAGAATGTTGAATTCATCAAGCATCTAACTAATGCTATTGATTGATCATAAAAATCAAGTTAAAATCTTACATTATTACATACATTAAACAACAAAGTTAAACAGATTTAGAAACTATGTCTGACTAAAACATATGGGAAAAGAATTTGGATATTTAGGAAACTGTATTTATTTTAACATAATAAAACCCTTGATTTATTAAATTTATCAAAATTCAAAGGATTAAATGGGCAGGCCATATTATAAGAATAGAGGATAGCAGGACAACCAAAAAAGTTTTCTGTGCCAGGCCAACAGGTACAAGAAAAAGAGGACGACCAAACCTAAGATTTTTAGACTGCCTTGAAAAGGACCTACAAATTTTAAAGATAATTAACTGGAGAACCTTGGCTGAGGGAAGAATGTCTTGGCATAGGCTTGTTGAGAAGGCCAAGGCCCATCCTGGGCTGTGGTGCAAATGAGAAGAAGAAGTAGAAAACCATTGATAGATTTGATTTTAAAATAAAAGTATCTAATTGTTTCCTAACAAACATTTAATCGGTATTTAAATAAATATAAAAATAATGCAGATTAATCCCAAATACTTCTGCCAGAGCTTTACCTTTAAGTACCTAAATTATTTTAAAATGATTTAGTTTAGTAAAGAAGGTTTGTAAGAAGATATAAAGCTAGTGTAAACATTTTTAACATAATATTATGGTAAAAAGTTCTGCATCACTTTGTGATTAAATGCTGATGCTATACAATAGTAACAAATTTGTAATTTTTAGTTAGAGAATGCAATATGATACAATATATAATGCAAAAAAAAGGTATATGAAATTCATATTTACAGTTAATAAAATATAAAACAATTTAATTTAATATTATAGAAATCTATTAAATTCGTGAATTTAATTCCTATTTAAAGAATGTTAGACATGATTAAGGTCATAACTCTATCTAGTCAGTAAATAAAATAATTTCAAAAAAAGAGGTTATTCATTCACACAATATTTTATTTAAATTAAAACTTAGATATAATGACATATTTCTGAAAGCTTCTTTTATTTGCTGAAAAATAAGCAAATACAATTTTGTGAGAGGAGTTACTTAAATGCCCCTTTTATTGTTAAAATAAAAATAGATTTTAAAGAATAATAATATTCAGTAAATAAAACTAAAATTATAAGTATTTCTATATATTTGTAACATTTCTTGAATTACATAATTTATATTTTTAGGCCACATTATTTAAGCTTTTTGAGAGACTTTTCAAAGCTATTTTTCAACTTTTTAAGGCTAACTGAAATCAAGACATTATACGAAATTCAGTTGGAAGAGTTGCACATTTTCTAAACTTAGATTCAATAATTTTATATACACTCAATATATAATTAAGGATCCAGATCAGATAAGTTAACACAAAGGAATTTTTTAAGTAATATGAAGGAAAAAGAAATCTTAGTTTCATCAAATGAAGAATTTTGTTTTTATAATTATGCAATTTATATTTAGGAGGAGTCATATAATAATGTTTTTTCACTTATAAACCATAAAACAAAGAATTTATTGTAAGAATGCAAAAGCATATGAATTTTTTAATTATATTTTAATGATATGTGAATTTTTAAGGGGGGGAAATGGACTTTTTTCATTCACACCTTTTCAAAGTGTTTTAATTGGTGCCTTTTTATTTTATTTAATCTCTTTTCCTCATAAAAAAAAGTTTTCATCTTTTCTTTCAATTGCATATTTAAAAGGTATTACATTTTATTGAGTAAAGTTTCACTTCTGTTTCCTATCCCCAAACTTAGAGTCAGATAATTAAAGTAAATTTCCAACTAAGCACTAAATATGTTAATTATTTATTGTGAAAACTTTGGTTGCTAAATGTTAAGTTTGCTAGAAATGTTTATTGCAGTTTTTAATAAATTTTTCACATTTGCATAAGTCATTAGAAAAGCGCTGCCTTAGTTTATTTTTTGTTATCGTCTGTTACAATTAATATTATCAAATTGAACATTAAAAACCTGCATAATAAATCACACAGGAATGAATGATTGTATGATTCCATTACTCTTTCTGTACAAGTGAAACATTGTAAATTTTTGACTATAGATTCAAGAATTTTGCACCCAAATCAGCTTAAAAGAAAAAATACTTGTATTGCACATCACTGTTGTTCCCATTTTGCTTTTATTTTATCATTAATAAACTTCTTAAAACTATTTCTTAAAGGAAAAAAAAAACACATTATATCGTTCTAAAACATAACTATGTCAACTCAAATTATTATTTTTCCATGTCTTGTAACTTACATACTTATCACGACTGTGTCACTAATTCTTTCTTTTAATGATAGGGATAAAACTGTGATTATTAGAGAGTTACAAATTTATTATCATAAATTAATGATTTTTACTGATTTTCTTTTAAAAGAAAAAATTTTTTAAAGAAAAATAAACTTCAAGAAGCAATATTTAAAAAAAATTGAGTAAATTATTTATTTAATACATATTTTTAATGAAAACACTAAAATCAATGTATCAGAAATATCTGTAATTAGCATTGGCGACCAGTTTGGTTCTCATAAGGAACTTGTCATTTTGCTGTTCTTCACTACATGGTCTGGTGTTGTGGTAATATAATATTTCAACTATAATTCAATAATTTATCGAGCAAAACTTTAAATAAACCTTTACTGGCCTTTATGGATTCTGTGCCCGGACAGAACACTATGTCCAACGCATACACACATTTCAGTTATATCATTTTATTTCAATTAGTCAATAATTTATTAACAAAAATTTCAAATAGATCTTAGTGGTCTTTATGAATAGTGCATGATGTTTTATTGTGCCCAAAGAAATTCACAGAATATAGCAAAGAGGATGCTTGGAGCTTTCAAAATCCAATTTTAAAAAAAATTGATTACTTGTTATTTTTAAACAATTACAGCAAAAAGTATATAAATCATAACATCTTTCAAGTAGGTAACAAATTAAAGTAAAGAGGAAAGCAAATTAATAAGCAAATTAATAAAAACAGCTAAATATAATTCTTCGCATAGCACTAACATGATATTATTTGCAATGAAATTAGATTTCATGATTTAAAATCAAAATTATTTTTAAAAGAAATAAATATATATATTTTTTATTGTTTAGTTCTTGTAAAGTAAATTTTTTTAAATAAATTTTTATGTTATTCTCAATCATTTTTTTTCTTTTGAGTAAAAGGATAATTGATTACATAATATAAAGACTAACAGAATAAATCACTTGATTTAATTTCATAAGAAAACTGTAAATGTAATTTAAAAGCAACTTTAAGGCACTAGTTTTCATATATGGTTTAAAAAATTCTTTGATGTAATGGTCATAAAATAAGTTAATAGTCTTGATATGAAAATAACTTAAATTCTCTATTAATTACAAAATGTAAACCATTAAAAACTGACTATGTAGCTTTGTTATTGATTACAATAGTTGATATCAACTTGGATAGAGAAAGAAGGAATTTAGAGTAACAAAAGATCTATGTAGATTATATATGAATGTGTTCAGGTATCTGAATTGTTTTCCTCATGCAATAACAGAACATGAGCAAACAATTCAATTTACATCAAAGGAAACCCATAAAATTCTACTTATTTTAATACCAATGTGATGAAAGTTGCAACATTGAGATGTGATATACGATAATCTATGATAGCCAGGATTTATTATCCAGAAAATAATAATGAGAAACAATAAGCTAGTTTTAATACTAGATCTGGTAGGAATATTTTACCCCCATTAAGAGTTAGACAAACAAGAATTTCTTAAAAATAAAATTTTATGCAAAATTTTTTACATGACCATGGTGAACACTTCAAATTAAATCTAGGATATGATATATGACACATTTGAAATAATGAATGTGATGCAAGTGTTTCATACAAAAAAAAATTTAAATTGTCTTTAAAAATAAATTGTTTTGTGGTAAAAAGATAAATTTAATCTTTAAGCTGTTCTTACTTTCATATGTCGTTCTGGTACCATAACAGTTACAGTTCTTCCATTATCATTGGAGAGTAAAAAACTAAAAGTTATGTTTGTTTATATATAAGAACACAAACAATTAAAATCTGTGTCAAGACCATGAAACAAATGCCCATTGAATGGGAGTATAGGGCCATGCGTTCAAGACATAAAAAAGAGACAAATTTAAGAGTGTAGCAACTACAGAGTAATCACCCTTTTAAACAAAGCATTTAAGATCCTACCAAACATTTTATACCACAGACTATTACCATACATTGCAAAAGCCTTCAAAAATTATCAATGGGGATTAAAAAACGAAATATCAAGACCAGATGCACACAATCATACAAATCTGGGGAAAAAAGGAAAGAAATTAATATTTATACATACCATAAATTTTTTGACTTTAAGACAACATATGATGGCATAGAAAGAACAAAATTATATTATGCAATACTCGACTTAGAAATACCCATGAAACTAGAGAAATCTTACTAAGATGACTCTTAATAGAGTTAAATGCAAGGTAAAACTAGACAAAGTAAAACTCATACGAATATCTATAGGAGTGAGATTCCATGTCATTGGAAAAAGTTATTAAAGACTCAGTATAACAGTTTAAATATTAGAATAATTGATTAAATATAGCAATCAAATGTTAATATGGATTAAGAAATCACTTTAAATTAAAAAACTTAAGCATAAATTAAAGACTTATCAATATAAAACTTTAGTAAAACAAATAATTATGTGAGGAAGCGCATTCTGGACTATGAACAAAACAAAGGAAAACAAGTTCTGAGAGAAAAAAAAATATTTGAATAAAAAATATTTGGCACTGTCAAAAAATTAATGTCTGGAGTATAATAACCAAACATTGTGAAAACTAAAAAGGTATATCAATTAAGATAACTTGGACATATTTACAGGTACAATAATTTAAACCTAAAGAAAAAAAAAATGGCAAACGGGCAGACCAAACATGAGGTGACTTGATACAGTTGAAAAAATGTCACATAAAATTGGGATCAACCATTGGAAAACTGTAACAGTAGATCATTCCCAATAAAAGAAACTTAGGGAGAGAGTCTTGGCCTGCAACAAGCTGTAAAAATGCAAAATAAGAAAGAACTATTAATTTTTTTTTAATTCCTATTTTTAAAATTCTAAAAAAAGTTAAAAATAAATCAATAAGGTTAATAATTTTCCTTAGAAAAAAAATTAAAATGAAATATGAAAATTTTTTCAACAGGTAAAATAAAATTTAGTTAATAAGTAATAAGTTAATCAAAAAGAATATTATTTAAAATTATACAGATATCAATGTTTAAAAGAGTCAACTAATAAACATTTCCTCATGGTCGAAATTTATTTTGAAAGAATTTATCTAACAAATAATAAAAAATGCTGAAGGGAACAGTGACATTTTTTATGGTTTGAATTAAGAGAAAAACTAGTTATTTCATGAAACACATTTAAAGAGTGTGTCAAAGTGTGTTTCATGAAAATCAAAATTTTTAACACAATATTTTCTTTTTGAAAAAAAATTCATAAATCATATTTATTACTAATGAATGTGACACTTTTTCATGAATCAGGCTTACTTTCAGTTTGAGAAATAAAACATAATGTGTAACATTTACAATTAATAAAATTTCTTGTATGAAAATAATAATATTGATTAAAGGTTAAAAGAAATACAAAGAAACTTTCTCATTACTGACTTCTTTTTCATTACTGACAGCATATTTCGTTTAGCAGAAGAAGAAAAAAATAATTACTTTTCACATAGCTGAAACAGCAGGTATACAAAAATGATGATGGAGCAGCAGCTGTGGGTTTGACTCCTTATGTTTCCATCGCTAAATAAAAAGAAAACAATTGAGGACAATGACAAATACACAAAATTAGCACTCTATTTCTGATAACTATGAACTACTATTACCATGAGCTAAAAACTACATAAAAATATAGGGGAGAGTCGGGTAGCCCCGCTCACTTAAGGAGTATTGCTTATATTTCTGTATAATACGGAGTAATAATCAACATTTTTGTATGCTTCTATTGTTTTATCATCTAATTAAATAATGCAAAAAGAATAAACCAAAAAAAGAATAGTTAAACTTAAAAAAATAGAAATTTAAAAAAACATGTTTTTCAGCTCTTTTCAAAATGTGTCGGGTAGCCCCGCCCAGTTACAAAAATTGTGTTTTTTGGCTATTTTTTCAGGTGTAAATGAGAATGACCAATGTATTGACAATAGATAAACCTCATTTATCATTTTTATCACAAAATTATTTTATTTATTACATATTTATATACTTTTAGTGAATTCTATCATTTAATAACAACAAATGTCATACCTTTTATCATTATTAATGTATATTAATATATTATAATATTAATATATATTTATATTAAATATTTAATGAAAATAATTTAATTTAAGTAACAATAATTAATAACAATAGTTGTTTTTCAATATAAACTTATTTGGTTGATCTCTTCTTATAAACTTAATATAAAATACTTCTTATAAAATTACAAATTCACTTTGTATTTTGATTGCATTCAAATGCTTCTGTAGATTGATTCGTTCACAAATAAGTGAAAATAAATAAGTAAGCAAATAGCTTATCATAATATTTATGATTTCTTGATATTAAATTTAATTTGGATATATCAATTACATTTTAAAAATATTTAATTTTTCATTTTTAAATATATAAATTTATGTTTCATATAATATTAAAACATATATTTGTTGTTAAAAATGCATATAACATTCAAATTTGAAGCAATAAAATAATAATCTTTGCAACCGTACATTTATCGACGAAATAAAATTGGGCGGTGATACCCGACATTCATGTGAGCGGGGCTACCCGAAATCCAATTTTTTTGTAAATTTGTAATTACTCGAACAATTTTTTACATACAAACTTCTTTCTTTGTGCAAATTAAACTTAAGACTACATACTTTAATGCTGTATGTATAGAAAAAATTATTTTTTTAGTATTAAAATGAAGTTTAATCGAAACATTCAACCAATTTTTCTTAATTTCATGACTACTGTATTCAACAATTTTTCAAACTATTGTTTACCATGTTACCAGCTGCATAAATACTTGAAACTTTGAAAATAATCTTTTTTTAATCTAACAATTAATGTCCGATGGCCCATTGACTTGAAAAAATATTCTATACATATGAAATTGACAGTAGGCGGGGGTACCCGCTGGGCGGGGCTACCCGACTCTCCCCTACATGGAGACAATTTCTTAAAATCAAAAAATGGTTTCAAGGGAGAAAAAAAAACTTTTTATTGAAAAGAAGTTAGGTTAAAAGACTTTTATTTTACCTGTTGATACATTCAGCTATCTGTAGAAAAATTAACTAGTGAAATAACAGTAAAATAATGAAATTTAAACCTCTTTCAGAAAAATTTATGTTCTATATTTTAAATATTATAGAGTAACAAGTACAGGAACACTTTTATTACATTCATGATTTAAGTAAAAGTGTAAAAACAATAAAGTAATATATTTATTACTAATAAATGTGACACTTTTTCATGAATCAGGCATACTTTCAGTTTGAGAAACAAAACATAATGTGTAACATTTACAATTAATACAATTTTTTGTATGAAAATAATAATATTTATTAAAGGTTAAAAGAAATACAAAGAAACTTTCTCATTACTGACTTCTTTTTCATTACTGACAGCATATTTCGTTTAGCAGAAGAAAAAAAAAAGAATTACTTTTCACATAGCTGAAACAGCAGGTATACAAAAATGATGATGGAGCAGCAGCTGTGGGTTTGACTCCTTATGTTTCCGTCACTAAATAAAAAGAAAACAATTGAGGACAATGATAAATACACAAAATTAGCACTCTATTTCTGATAACTATGAACTACTATTACCATGAGCTAAAAACTACATAAAAATATACATGGAGACAATTTCTTAACATCAAAAAATGGTTTCAAGGGAGAGAAAAAAACTTTTTATTGAAAAGAAGTTAGGTTAAAAGACTTTTATTTTACCTGTTGATACATTCAGCTATCTGTAGAAAAATTAACTAGTGAAATAACAGTAAAATAATGAAATTTAAACCTCTTTCAGAAAAATTTGTGTTCCATATTTTAAATATTATACAGTAACAAGTACAGGAACACTTTTATTACATTCATGATTTAAGTAAAAGTGTAAAAACAATAAAAACCTATAAGCAAAAACCTTAAAGTTTGTTTTGATTTTAGATTTTTTCTCATTAAACACTGATTACATAATAAAAAATAACAGTCAAGATCAGAGTTTTAAGCATAAAATAGAATCAAGTTTTTCTTAAAATACTCAGTGAGGTGGCAGCTAAGCGTTTTTAGAAACCTCGGTTATCAAAGTTATAATTTATAAGAAAAACTTGAAATTAGTTTAAAATAATCATTTTCATAAGCTACTATTCAAACTATCTACAATTTGATCCTTTTTTTAAGGGACTATTCTTTACAAATCAAAGGTGTAGAAAAATGACGAATGAGAGTTAGCCTAGAATATATTGGAAATTTATGAAAATTAATACATATAAAACATTTATACATATAAAACATAAAAAAACATTATTCGAAAACATTTTTACATATAAAACATTATTCAAAATATTTATGCAAAAATATTTATAGCACAAAGTTGTTGTTGTTTTTTTTCTTAATGTCGGGCACTTGAGGTGTATTGTCCTATTGGCCTCTAATGCTAGAACTGCTACTCTCTTCTTGTTACCCAGTGGGCACTGGTGGCAAAACCACGGCGGTGGAGCAGCGTCGCCCACATCACACAACCACAAACCCATTTATAGGGAGGGCCACATTCACACAATAACACAAAGGAGAAAGGACATAGAACAAACAGAGAGAGAAAGAAACATCCATGCCCTGAGCACAATTCGAACCCACAACCATCGACTCCGCAGTCAGGCACGCTGACCACTCGGCCACCTTGTCGGCTTACGGTATGAAGTAAAGGATAAATAAATGCATTAACATATTTACAATACAGTACCATAATAAAGTTTAACACCGTAAATTTTTTAAAAAATATTTTGGAAGATGTAGAAATAATTAAATAATCTACAATAACTATCTACAAGGATATTTTTTTAAACTTCAAGAAAGATAAAAAAGAATATATAAAGAAGTTCGATATAAATACATAATTCCAGATGTTTTTTTTTTGAAAAAATTAAACCCGTTATTGTCTTCTTATACATAAGGCGTCTTGCAGTCCAATACAACAGTGAAGTAGCTCAAGAAGGTGAGAGGGCACATCATCACAGGAACGAATCACATCACAGGAACGAATGTCAAGAAGAGAGGGGCAATCAAAAAGATGCTCCCCAGTCATAGTCGAAGTGTTACAGAGCACACAAAGAGGTGAATTGACCAGGTTAATCCTAAATTGATGGGCCTGCAAGTAGTCATGCCCAGTAATTATTCTAAGGCAAGCAGCTCCCTCAGCCTTGGGAAGGGAGGGAAAGATGAGAGAGCTGCTGGCCATCAAGAAGGCTAGCCCAGGATTTTCCATCAGCTAAGTCCCCAAGAGCAGATATATTGTTGTGTGTCTGAATTTGCTCTTAAGAAGCCGTCTTGCATTTCTAAGAGGAACTGGATGAGAGGGTGGATGCAATGCCGAAGCCTCTCTAGCTAACATGTCAGCCCGTTCATACCACAATGGCCAGGGATCCACTGAAGGACTACCTCTCTTCCAGAACAAAGAAGAGAGCTGATGCGCTGTTTACACTCAAATTCAAGTTCAGAGGGGTATAAATTATATTCAGAAACGGTCTGAATCGCAGCCTGAGAGTCGACAAAGATAACAATGTTTTGTTCAGATGGTTCACCAATAGCCGTAATAGCCATAAGGATTGCAAACACTTCTCGATCAAAATTATCTGCTCAAGTGTCAAGAGGTTCTCTAAGGCTGAAATATTTGGTGTAAGCACCGGCTCCAGCTCTACCAGTTGAAAAAGTGACGGATCCATCAGTAAAAACCTGCAGCCATTCCTGGCAAGGGTATCGCTCATGTATAGTGGCCAGAGCAATAGGATACAACTCTGTCTGGTGGAAGTCCGATTTTCGGACAGGCTGTACCAAGTCAGACCTAGTAGTGGCATATCTTAGAAGGCCCGTAAAAACAGGCGGCCTATAGATACAAAGTTTGGAGTTGGAGACCTCTAAGATCTCTGCAAGTCTCCGGTACTCAAAAAGAAAAGAATGTTGAGTCTGGTTTGAGGGAGAATATATAATTCCAGATGTAGTTACACATAAATGAATATAATTTCCCTACTAACATAGATATTCCAGTTAAACATATGATACCGAATAGGAGCTTTCAATACTCAGTCATTTTCAATTATTAGGTTTACATCCTCTTACACCTAACTATTATTTGATAGGGAACGTGGTTAATACCTTTTTGAAAGTAAACCTCACATGATTAGCAGGAGAAAAAAGCTATGCCTACCTGTAAGCCATGAGGATCTATGGAGTTGATTATTCACAATTGATCAGCTATCAAGTGTCTGAATAAATGATTCATTTATAGGAACACCTCAAAGATTATACTTCTGTTCACTTTTTTACCCCAGCTGTGTTAAATACTGTCTTCAAATTGATAAGAAAATTAAAGAAATTTTCAATGGGTAAGAAGCATTGAGAGCATTAAAGATGTTATTTCAACTTGAGGGGTCTCCTAACCTGTGTGGTCCAGATTAAAAGATTAAAAGATCTCGTTGTCCGAATTATATCACAACAACAGTATCATTTTCTCTCCTTTCTTTACAAAGATAAGGCAAAGTGACAGGAGAAAAATTGCTTCTTCCGTAGTGAAATAGTTTAAGAATATTTTTAGTTATGGATAAGGCAAAAAAAATTTACATGCCTCAAAAATGGTGAAAAGTTGTGCTTTTTTTCCTTGCAATTTAAAGCAAAAAGTTTTTTTTTTTTTTCAAATATAGAAAAAGTAGTGTCCGGTTTGAGGAGATAGAAATAACATTTCAGGGCCAAAATGACTGTCCCCTTTGTAGAGTATGTACATAACGGTTTCTTCATAGAAGATTCCCTGAGAATTAAAAATATGTCCTTATTGAGAGGCGTCTGTTTTGAAGAAGTGTCCATAACAGGAGGTTTCACTGTATTTGGAAGTTTCGGTTTTCTTTAGGCAAGCAATAAATTTTCAACAGCTGTTACAGATTGTAGTTCATTTTCTGAAAATTCCTGAGAATACAAAAAGCTCCTGATTGGTTTAAAGATTTTCAGGCCTTCTGCAAATGTTTGCTCTAATTGTTTGTGTTCACTCTTCATTGGTATTATATTGCAACTACTTTTTGATCCAACAAGTTTCAATGTTTTTATCAACTGATGCATAACCACAAAATTATTGTTTGAGGTGTTCTACACAAACTGTACATAATCCACATTTTTTTTTTTCATTATTAGCATCACCATTCAAAAGATACTGTTCTGCTTCCTCAAAGCAAATTACAAACAAGTAATTTGTTTTGATAACTTAATTTTAATAACAAAATAAAATATTATTAGCAAATTACATAGAAATGATAAATAAAAAATTACAAAAGATATTTAAAAGAAAACTAAGATATTGGTAAAAAACTCACATTTAAAATAAAATATCCTTTTATACTTTTAGTTTAAGATAAATCATAATACAAGGCAAAACAATATTAAATATTTTCCCTATTTTAAACAAATTTATAAAAAAATTTACCTCTGCTCAATAACAAATTGAACATCAGAGAATGCTTTGAGTATGAAAAGGAGAGTCAATTTTATGGCATCAGATGTAGTATTATTAAGAGTAGCAGCTCAAAACTGAAATTGAAAAATTTTGAGTGTTAAACATACTTTTAAATGATACATTAGTGATTACTTTCTAAAAAAATGTACAAAACAGTACAATGTACAAGAAAGAAAGCTTATGTAAGGAGCATAAGTATTTCTTGATTGTAGACAATTCTTTTTATTGAAATATCATCTTTATTGAATATCATCTTAAAGTAAAAATGAATAGAAAGAATGATAAGAAAATTACAAGCCATATTATTTCAAAAAATAAAAATACCTTCATTTAAAAAACTTTGACACAGACTTCGATCTTTATTGAGTAAGCGCACATATCTCAACAAATCTATTTGTTATTATTTTTTTAGCACAATGATATGTGTTAACCCTGAATTTAAATGTTACAAAACGTTATAATTAGGCAAGAGTCAAAACTTTTTTGGACACAGATTTAATATTGCCAATGCTTTAATATAGTTAAAACATAAATCTTGAAACAGATTCTATATTATAAGGTAAGATTGAAAGTTTACAAATCTTTTTAGCATTTTATGATTAAAGAAAAATTGGTAGAGATTTAAGTTGCCTTTTTGAAATAAAATAATTTTAAATACACTCATTATTAATTTTCTGCAATAAATAAGTACACCAATGTGTTTCAAATTGTTACTATACATTTTTAGATGTCTTGAAAGTTATGTTTAATATCATCAATGATTCATTATTTCATTTGATTGTCAAAAGAAAAGTTCAAAGTATGAAAATAATTAGCAACCCAAAATTACCTCAAAAATTACAAACCATTATAAGTAATTTTAATTTAAAATGACAGCCTTTCCATGTTTAAAAAGTACTAGTACATAAAAAAAAGATTGCAAGACAAAAATAAAATATTGCAATATTTTCAGCAAATATATAACATCAAATCTGTTATTTTTACTAAATTATATACCTGAATAAAATAAAATGATCCAAAAATAATGAATGGTGAATACCAAAATGAGAATCATGAAGTTTCATTCAGGTTATAATTTATATATTAAAGCAATATTATTTATTTTTTATAATAAGCTGCATTTTTTATTACTGCAAATACTTCACATTTTTACAATTGCAAAGTTAGTTGGCAAATAAAAATTTATTACATATAATTTATTCATTCCCTGTAAGGTGGTCAAAATTTACAGTAGACCCCTTCCTCAAAGTTCAAAAATTCTAATTTTCGTAATTGTAGAAGTTTTGAAGACCATTCATACAAAGTTGCTGTTTTTATTTTTAAAAAAAATTCAAAAAACTTATTAACAGAAACTACATTTTTCAAAAGAAATTTTGATCAGACCTTAAGTAGACATAACCCCTTGAGTACAGCTATAACTCAAACAACCAGTTTAGGAGCACATTTGATAATTATCCAATATAACTGCTAGAAATTTCATGCAAAACAATTTATTGCATACCAGTAATTCACATAAAAAAATTCATGGTCTACTTCTAAAATTTTACGGAAATTGTGGAAACAGAGATTTAAATTTAATTCCATATTCTTGCCATATTTTTGTATTGGATTTTTAAATATAATTTTTAATTTTTCGAAAATTATGTCTAAATTTTCACAAAATAGGTACCTCTCAGAAAAACCTAGACAGACCCCTGGCTATTTATTAGCTTATTTTAATACTATTTATGAAAAGAAATGACCATGATCAAGAATTACCCCAGTGATCAATAATTACCCCATCTGTAGGGGGCAACATTTGATATAATTTCCTATAATAAATTAGAATGTTTACAGTAGATGTGAAACAATTAAACTAGAGCTTACGCTATTTTCATATCAAAGAAAAAGAAAGTAACTCAAAACATTTATTATTAAGAGAAGGAGGGAGATCTTTGCAGAAATGTGCACTTTTTGAAACCCATCTTTGAAATGGAAAATACAGAAAGCAGTTTAAAAGATACATATATTTTGTTGGATTAAACAAAAAACTATTATTAAGCAAATGTAGTTATACCTTAGTAAAGTGTACAAGCATTCTTGTCCATGTCTCTAATTTAGAAAAAAATAATATTTTTAAAAAAAAACTTAGGTTATCATTATTTACCCCAGAAACAGAGTGATCGTGAATTACCCCAGGTCACCCTACTATTAAGCATTTTCTTTCTTTTTTTTAAAATTTTATCTACCACTTAATAGTTGAAATTAAAATCTGCCAGAATCATCATAAATGTAGCTGCTTACTTTCATATTTATAATAAATTTAAGTGTTAATACTTTCTGTACTTAATTAATTGACTAAGATATATGTTCAAACACTTTAAGTCACAACCAAAGAGTCAATTCAATCTACCTACACTTATCTACTGACATATACTGCCTACAGATCAGGGTTCGTGATTTTTTTGATTTTTTTAAAAAAAATCAAAAAAATCGGATTATTTTGATTTAAATCGGATTTTTTTGATTTAAATCAGATTTTTTTGATTTTTATTCAAATACACTATAAGAGCTTTAATTTATGATTAAAAAAACTTTATAAATGTTTAATCAAAATTAAATTAATATTAAAACTATATCATAACAACATTTTAGAAGCTCTAACTTATTAAAATAATTTTTCATTATAATGCATAGCGACCATTTTAATACAAAGGCATGATTGAAATTAAAAGACAAGATAAAAAAGATAATTTAAAGAATACTACTTTAACTAGTAACACAAAGTTTCAATTAGCACACCATAATTTTAATTTAAAATTGTGATCTCTTTCTTTTTTCTCTTGATTTATAAAATGGCAAAATAAATGCAACAGATTGTGTTTATAAATGTTGTCATTCATCAAAAAATAAATATTCAATCTATATATTTTTATGTTAAAATATTCATTTTTAATCCTATATAAAAATACATAAGTTAAGCTAAATAACATTTTTAAAAAATCTATGTACTCATTGAAAATTTTTTTCACAAAAGAAAATCTGATAATTTCAAAGATACCGTGAACATATTTTGAGAAAAAAAAATACCAGTGAATAATCCTTCTGCTTCAAATAGACTTTGAAAGGGAAGAATGACACTATATCAGGAAAAAATATCTGAACTCAGCTTTTTTTTTTCTTTCTATTTTTGGCATATTAAGGTAATTTCTTTTTAATATAGCCTCAAGCTTTAGAAATATAGAAATTTCCATCAATAAACTATAATGTAGATTAGAATTCCATGCTTTTTTAATCAAATGGTAGAATTTTAATTAACATTTGCTTTTTTTCTTTTTGAAAAAAAATCATGTTTATTTACTTTCTATAGCTATGCAAGTCTATATTAAGACAGCATTAAATATTTACTTTAATCTGTACTTTCAATGTTAAGAATCAAAAGATTTTTAAGCATGTAATTTCAAATGTGTTTAACACACACCAAGAAAGAAAGTAATTTCGTTAACTAAAATTAATTTAATGCAGCAATTTATTTAAAGTAAATTTTAAAACTAAGAAAAGAAAATAATAAAAGTATCAATAATTTAAAGCACTGTTTTTTAACTTTTAAAATCAATATAATATATATATAAAAATCAATTGATTTAAATCAATGATTTTTTTAAAAAAATCATTTGATTTTAATCATGATTTAAATCGTGATTTAAATCAAGCTGATTTAAATCAACGAACCCTGCTACAGATACAACAAAAATACATATAAATGTTAATTTATTGAGTCGTATTTCATGAAATGGTATATGGTAGTCTCAAGACTATGTTTCTACCTGATCAGTTTAATCCTGTCATTACAATACAGAAGTAAACTAGGTTATGATAGCCAAGATTTGCACAAACACTAAACATGTGATTTGGAAAAATATGGAACAAAGGACAGAAATAACTTTAAACTAATATAGGTACTTTTTCATTTTGCCAACACGAGTAATTTTGGCTAATTTACCTATTATTTGTTCTTTTTTTTTAAAAAAAAAGTCACTTATAAATAATAAAAAAACAGTTGAATTTACTTGCACTCATTAAGTTTCAATTAGTAACTTTATTGCCTGTGCCGGCAAAATGGAAAATTACCCTAATTTATTTAACAACTAACTGAAATCAAAAAACCAATAACACAAAAAATATATTCCAAAATTCCATGAAGTTAAGAACAAAGCAAAAAATTAAAAACAAGAAAAGCAAATAGCTAGAAGACCAAATTACACAATTCTTGCTCATCTTAAGCATCTATGAGGGCTTGTCAGGCCACGAACACTTCTTTAGGACATCTGTGTCAAAAGGCTAAGCAATACTAGTTTCTCAAGACAGTGTTCAGTCGAAAACAGCTTCTATTGTTATGAGCTGCAACAAAATTCGGTGTTTGAAATCGTGAGTGAGGGACAGTTAAAGCAGAGACAGATATTGCACATTTTTGTCTCACATTTTCTGCAGATTGGAACAGAGTCTTATCGATATTGGCTCTCATTGCTACCGTGTTACTAACAATATTAAAACTGAAATGAATTATTAAAAAATTATCATTAGCCACCTTTCATTTAATTTTTGTCGTCTCTAGGATATTTTTATTATGTTTTTAAATTTTATTTTTTCTACTTTTTTCGATTAATTGCTACTTGTAATGACACTTTTCATAAAGAATAATTGAATTAATTATTTAAAAAAATTAAATTAAATTAAATTGTCTGGGTCATCTTTCTGACTTTATTGCTTTATTATTCTTTGGTTACAAGTTTGTTTACCTGAATTCTTACTAATGAAACCTTTCTTTGTCTAACTTTTATTAGTAACATTTTAAAATTATGATTACAAAGTTTCACCAAGATAACAAAAAATTTGGTTTTTCATTTTAAGCTTAAAAAATGCTCTTTTTTTTTAACACCATTAAATGTATGTAAAATTTTAACGTTTCAGAAGGTATTTATTATTTAATAAAAATCAAATTTATTTTAAAATATATGTGCATGTTTTTTTTAAATTATTTAAAAAAATCTGTTTATCAGTGCTTTTTTAATAATAGAATATCTTTTTGTATAAGAGTTCTAATCAATTTCATGGGGAAAAATACTGCTTATTAAATTGTGGAACATGCTTGAAAATCCAATAATCAGGATTACCTGTAAAGAGAAGGGTAATAACAAAAAATTTAAAAAATAGCGAAGCTTTTTCTATTTTAAGGTAAGTAATTGAGTGGTAAGATAAGTAATTTTAAGGTAACTAATTGAGTACGCAAAATTAAAGTTTCTAATAATATGTACACTTTGGCTACGAATAATTGAATCAAAGATTTGATATAAAAAGGGATATTTCTGTATCATGATCTGTAGTGTCAACTACTATTATCGCCAAGGTGCCAAAGAGATTTTAAAATTGAAATTAAAAAAAAAAAAACATGTAGATGTTTGCTCGGAGGTAGCTACGAGTTATACCTTTTGAGTTGGTCCCTTTTTGTGATGTTTCTTTTTAGTTTCTCAGAAGTTTCCAGGACTTGGGGATTATTCTGCCACTGATCACGATACGGAAATCTCCCCGAAACAAACAACTTTATATACAAATTTAATTTATGACTTATTTAATTATATACTTTATTAATTAATGATATAATAACTTTATATACTATATAAAAACTATATTTTTATACATTCATTAGAGTTACTACTGTAACTGTCAATGCAATTTCTTACAGTTCAACTCGAATGTATTATATTATTTAAAAAAATTTGCACTTGCATATTAGAAAAAAGATATATATCTTTTCAATGCTATAATGTAAAATTAGCTTTTTGTACACAAGTATTTGTTTACTCCAATTTCTTCCTTTTTTGAAATTAGTTACTAAGCGCCCTTTTCCATGTTTTCATCTAACTCTCTATGATATTTGAATTTTAAAAAACTATAATAGCCTTTGCAGACAAGTAAGCTACAAGCTTAAAAACTTTCTTCCGCACAAGTGTTCTAAATAAATGTATCATCAATAATAAAATATCTAATTCTAATAAATATATTCTAAACGCAGAGCTATAAGCGATAAGCAGAGAGCTCGCAGCACCTAACTATACTCAATACTCAATACTCAATAAATATATTCTAATAAAATATCATTATCAACACTTCAGCTCAATAGTTTTATTAATATATATTAACTACACTATAAATATATATATAACTAAACTATATATTTTTTTAATCTGTTAGTTTCTTGACCCGTTTCTCATTTTGTGGCAGTTAAAATCCATTCTTACTTCACAGTTTAACTATTCTTCCAAGAGTCTTATCCCACTTTCCCCTTGTTGCCCAGCTGAGGTTAACTTTTAGAAATGTCTCTCATGCTTGTTTTATTGAATGTGCCTTGTAACAAAGAACCTGTTGGAGTTAACTTGTATGAATTTTTCTTCTAATTGTTCTGTTGACAGTGCCTTGTGAATGAATAGTTTTAAATTGTAAATAACCTATTAGAGTTGACTTGTATGAATTTGTCTTCTAATTGTTCTGTTGATTGTGCCTAGTGAATGAATAGTTTTGAATGAATTGTAATTGCCTAAGTGAGGTTAAATTATATAAATGTCTCTTATGCCTGTTCTGTTGAATGTGCCATCTGAATGAATTGTAATTGCCTAAGTGAGGTTAAATTTTATAAATGTCTCTTATGCCTGTTCTGTTGCATGTGCCTTGTGAATGAATAATTTTGAATGAATTGTAATTGCTTAGGTGAGGTTAAATTTTATGTCTTTTATGTATGTTCTGTTGAATGTGACGGAATGTGTTGGATGTGAATTAACAACTTTCAGGCAGGGAGTCATGATAAACTAAATAAAATAAAAATTCTCCCCAGAGAATACCAACTAAAATGACATAACTAGTTGTTATGTGTTGGCAAACCTCTACATGATTTTTGTAAAAAATTTTAAAATTGATTTGGCACCTTTGCGATTGTGTTTGTCATGACAGATTACAATGCGGAATCCCTTAACAAACGTGATCATTTTGTGGAAACCTGTATCTATATATTATATTTTTATTCTACTATGCATGTTTGGTAAAGCAGAGTTATCCCAAGGAATAAAAAAGAGTAGGGTACTTGCAGAAGAGAGAGTGTACTACCATTAAAATTTATAAAAACGTGCTATATTATGTATTAACTGAATTTGATCCTCAATTTTTTGATTACGCTCATATTATTGTATGTGTATATTTCCTAAAGTAATTTTCACTCATTATTAAAATAACAGAAAAATTTGAAGCTTTTGAAAAGGCAAGCTAAAAAAATATATATATATAAGTTTTCTTTTTTTAAAAAAAGTGAAATAGAAAAAAATATAAAAAGATTAATTGATAAACAATTTGAAAGCTATTTTTGTATTTTAAGACAAAAATTTTGCGATAATAAATATTTAAAAGTCCATTTTAAAATAAAAGGTACCTATTGATTTAAAAAATATTGGTAAAATTTAAAATCATTTAAAAATTCATCAATATACTTCCCCTCTCAAATAACAGTTGAGAATGTCATTGAGGTCAAATGTCACGTGAATTTAACTCTATAACCAGACAATGTAAGAAAAATCTTTCTAACATTAAGAAATAAATTAAAGTTAAATAATTATCAATAATTATATAAATCAGAAGTAGACTTTTCATTGAAACAGGGTGTTAAGAAAACAAGCTTTTCTCTGAAAAAAATATAATAAAAAGGCACTGTTTTTAAAAGATGGTGGCTTATTTTTACAAAAGAGGTAAGGAGGGCACATTTACAGTTATTAAAGTGCAGATGGGGCAGACTTCCCTTTTAGAAACGCCTAGGAAGTTCACTGAGTAAAGTATTTTTTTAGAAATTCTGTTGGTTAGAGCAAATAATAGTTCAAATTACTTTTTTATTATTATGGTGTCTGTGATTTTTCCTAGGTCTTAGGGTAATTTATGGTTGCTCTTGTTACATGTATTGTGATGGTGCACATTGATTTGCTTTTACCTATGAACTTTTTATTTTAACTTGAATTTTTTTTTTTTGTTAAATAACAAAGAAAAGTTCTTGTAATTTCATGTTTATGCAAGAAAAAACTTGATAAAATTCAATAGTTTTGTGAATTAAAAATATGGTTCCTCTTGTTACCTAAAAAAGACATGAGGTATTAATGATTATATTATCTAACTTATTTAATAAAATCTTCTTATTTAAATAATTTCAAGAAAAGGAGATTAGATTTAAAAAACAAAAGCCATTAGAGTAATTTTGTTATTTATCATTTAAAAAGTGTTGAAATATGGGCAATAAATGCAGAAAGTAAAATTAACATTGAAGGTTCCCTATCTTCCACAACTCTATTGGTTTAACTATTAATGCCATGTTCCTAGAGTGAGGTTCTCCCATATTTTGAGATTCTAAGTAAGTAACATGTTGCAAGTCTAATATAGTACATTTTTATGTCTGATTTTGTATGTTAAAAAATTGTCTGCACTAAGTAACTAACATATTTGGTGTCACCCCTTTAAACCATTAAGATTCAGTTTTATTGCCTAAAGATATGATCAGAAAATAAAAAATAATTTATGGTGTATTATTTTTGTGCTTTGTACTTGCTAAATTTTAATTATGTAAAATACATGAATTAAATTCGAAGAGAAAATTAACTATATCTTATTATTCATGGAATTACATAACTAGTAATTGTTATTATTTATTATAAGTAATATTACTACAACAAGGAAAAGTTCAGTTTAAATAACTTCTTTTCTGCAAAAAATCTTATTAGTAATTCTAATTATTCAACCTTTTAGGGAAGTTAAATATTTATTGTAATTTCACATTGCTCAACACAAATATTGTGATAATAAATGTTTTTTAGTGATTAATTTTTTCAATATTTAAAATATTATTTAGACACTAATGTTTATTATTAAGTTTTAATTTGTATGTATTTTTATTTGTAAGTTGTTTAAAGGCTATTTTAATAAATTTATTAGTTCTATGTTATTTGTAAAATAATTTTCTTACTTGATATTTTTATGTAAAATCAAGCTAGAAATAAGTTATTATTTTTGCTTTTATTGGAATTTTAGATTAAGATAATGTTCCGCAAGAGATTCTAAATAGAAATGAACTACCATGTGCATATTCTATGGAAATTTTTCAAAAGTGGTTTACATCAACTGAAATTCTATCTATATTTAGGGTTTAAAGCTCATGTCCTTTTAGAAAAAATCTAATGCAGTGAAGCCTCTTGGGAGCGACCATTCTCTGTTCCACAGTAAAATGGTCCCTGTGACGGAATTTTTTCGAGCTGTCTGTGACAAAACTCTCAAGCACTAATATCTTTTTGCAAGATACTTTTAATAATTACAAACATTTTAAATTAGTAACACATATCTTTGTTATTATTAAAAGTATCTTGCAGAAAGATATTGGTGTATAACGCAGTGCTTTTGTTATTTTAAATTAGTAACATATATAACAAAAGCGCTGTGTTTACAAAGAATTGATATCTATATAATTTTTATTTATTGAACATGTAATAATTTTTAATTCTAATATTATTGGTCTTATTCTCTCATTTTGTTAGGGGTGGGCGGACACTAAATATTTGCTTCTATGCTTTTTGTAAATGATAATCATAATTAAAAATCACGAGATCCGTAGCATTAATCGCCAAAAAAAAAAAATCGATGACGAAATCACACGCATCAGATTCCTCAAAAAGGGAGTTACTCAAATCCTTGTTTCATTTTGAGATTAGGTTGTTGTAATTAATATCGTATAAAAAATATTGGATTTAAAAACTATGGAGAAATCAATAACGATAACTGACAAAAAAATCTATAGAATCATTGCCTTAAATGTTAATTTTCAAAGGCATGATACGAATTTTCCATATTGTTAAAAATATATCAGGATATTTAAAAACCATGTGAAAATCAATATCAATAACTGTCAAAAATACAATCAAAATATTACATGAATTTATTTACTTTACAATTGGCGTAAATTGATTTGAAATGATTTATCTAACTGCATGATTCAAATCTTTAAGTATAAATTTTTGTAGTAAAGAAAACTTTTTACTTTTCAGAAGAAAAATCTTTCTGCAAGAATTCTGTAACATTCTGCTGCAAGATCAACGTGTCTCTGCAATTCTGCCTCTGGGAAAATGTTCATTGGTCGTTTTTAGGCGTTAAATCTATTGACTTCAAAATGTTAAAGTGTTTTTAATTTTAGCCATTTTCATTTTCTTGGTATGGAAATGTCACCAGTTTTGGCATCATGAAATCAGAATCAATGAATAACATTTAGCTTTTATAAAAATAATCCCCACTGATATAATTATGAGTAAAAGCAAATTTACCTATTATGATGTTAGAATTATTTAAATAAAAGAATAATTATGTTTTTGTTTAAGTTTGCCTTTAATTTTATCAGATACAAATTAGTTAGCTATAAAGGATGGGAAGAGGTATTGTTTGAGATGCTTAGTTTTTTCTAAAAAGACATAATTATAATTTACCTTCAAAGTTTCATCATTTGTTATAAAATTATTTTCAGTGTCAAGCGGTACTTAACTGAAAGTTTGAGTAATATTTGTCACTTTTAGTCAATAAATACTAATACAAATACTTCACTTTACTATTATAGTTAATTTTAACAGTCTCAAATATAAGTGTAGAACCTATGCCAATATCTTTAATAAGTTGAAAAAGGTTTTTATCATATTCTTCAGAAAATCAGTAATGTTACTTTTCTAGTTATAACTTTTATATTCATTTTAAGTATAATTTCAATACAATCACAGAGAAATACAAAATAATTTCGGTTACAAGTTAAATATTTTCTTTTTTGGATAAGAATTTTTGCATTGTGGGTTTAATAATTTCTTTTAACACTTTTCTATGGTATTTGTATGATAAAAATAAATATATTAAAATAAAATTATTTAAATACATAGTGCCAGGGTTGGGGTTTTGGACGTCCTAAACTGGTTTTGGACAGGACACGTGGGTTTTACTGTCTTAAACTGGGTAAAACTGTCCTAAACAGGGGAAAATTGTCCTAAAGTGTCCAAAACCTTGAACTTTGATAAAAGGTAAATATTCTATAGGTGTAACCATTGTACACATAATAATTACATGTATCAATAAATATTTGATATTTTTTATACAATTTACTATAGCTTATTAAAAGAAAATAATATAATATTATAAGGAAAAGGTTTATAATTTTTGAAGCTCCACAATTCATTGAACAACAAAATGAATACCTAATCCTTTAAATATAAATATGCTTTTAATACTGATAAATAATATTTTTGTATAAGGATAAATATAGCAATATTAAAAAAGAATAATTTTTCTTAAAAAAAATACTAAATTTGTTCAAAAATTAACCTTTTATTTTTCACTATATTTCAAAAAAAAAATTTTTAATTTCTGCATAGCAGAATGATAAAAAAGACATCTATTTAAAAATTTTTTTTATTTAAATCTAAATATATTAGTTTAAATTGAAAATACAAAATAACTGAAAAATGTATTAACAGTTTTGAAGGGCATAACATCAGTTTCAGTTACTGACGCTGGTGATGTATCACCACTATGCTAAAAGAATTGAACATGAATGAAATAAAAGTATTCTTGAATAGTACTATAGATAAATGAACCTTCCATAGCTGCTGCTCCTGTTTCAAATCCCAGTATGTTGAGTGGAATATTACGAATTTCTGATTTATCACCATCATTTGTTATCAAAGTATTCCTTCCAAACTTAAGGAATTCTATTTTTCCGTGTGTGTTAGGTGCAGCATCACTGAATCAATGGAGAGATAAAGATCAATGAAAAGACAATAACCTATTTAAATCAAGGCTCGTTTTGTATGAGATATTCATTTTTCACTCACTTTTCTGAGTATAAACTCTGTTTGCTACTTCTAAATAGAAATTCTTTAATGTTTTTTTAAATGCTTATATGCATTTTTAATGGATATTTTAATTTTTATTAAATTATTACGAATTTTCTTATTTAAATGTAATTTTGTATCTAGCAGGATGTAACATGTACTACTATACTGAATGGGGCTACTGTAATGAATTATTGGAAATTTAGTATCCTGCTGCTGAAGCTCTATTGAACTAGCTGAGCTGCAAGATCTAGAATTTACTAGTGGAACTACATCTGTTGTAAGTAAAAATTATTTTTTTTGGATAATTGCATGTTAGGGAAGCTACTTGCACTTTCTCTAGCTACTTGCATTCTTGTTCCTTATACTTCATGTTTAGTTGTATTTTCTTTTATTTGTAATAGATCATGCATGATTTTACTTGTATGAAATTTGTTAATAACCACTTTATAAAAAAAAGCTTCAATCTAATAAAATTTGTTTTAAAAAATAATAGTTGGATTTTGAAACCAGTTGAAAGTTAGTTTGGACTTTTTTTTATACATCATTAAGTTTTAAAATGCATGCCATAAATTTTATTATAATCTTATCTTTCTTTTAATTGAAAGTCATTGGAACAGATTTTCAAATTTTGCAATTTTTATTTATTTATTTTTTGAAAATTTCTTTACATTATTTCTTTATTACAGGCAGTGAATAACACTGATAAAATAACTGGATTATGTAATTGGCTGATTTTTAACTAATTTCAGAGAATAAAATCATCAACATTTTATTAAATCAAGCTTTAAGGGAGCATATATGTTTTATAGATGAAGGGGGGGGGGGAAATCCTGTCTAGATATTTAGATTTTTTCCTCCTAAATTTAGAAAGACGCATAGTAAATTCAAATATGCCAAGTGACACAAAGTCAAAATGCTCTCTTATAAAAATTAGGGAACATCTTGCTAAAAAATTCTGATAAACTCTGAAGTCACATGCAAAAAAGGGAATTATTATTTCTTGTAGCTTGATCAAAAATAGAACATGTTTTTCTTAGTTCAAACTATGTTTTTTTATTTAAAAAAAAAGAAAAAAAACTGTGGAACAATGTCTTAAGCTCGTGATTGAAATTACAGGAACCAGTCCAATGTATTTCTTAGCATTTAACTATTCCATTAAATATTAATTAAGGTTTTCAATAAACAATTCAAAAATATCTACCTTAAATATGCTAACAAAATAATAAAAAAAAAGAAAAGACACTGAATAATTTAAGTATGCTTTTAAAAATGTTATTTTACCACTTCATTTAGCAGGCAAATAAATGCAACATTTAAATTTTATTTTAGTAATATAAGTTAAAAAATGATTTCCCCCTCCCCCTTGCTTTTCTGTAATGTAAAATGCTATATTTTTAAGTATTATTTAATTAGCATCATTATCAGCTGTATGAAGTTTATAATATTAGTATTTAATTAAATTTTATGAAAACATTTTTTATCCATTGAATCAATACAAGTTTTAATATATTTAAAGTGCAATATATCATACATACTTTATATCAATAATAATTTTTAAAAATATTTTGTAATAATTAATTTATGAAAAGGTACAAAAATGATGTGTGTAATAGTAAAAGTAAATCTTAATAATAATAGTTTGATAATAAATAAAGTACAAACTATTTTCATTAATTTTAGCATAATAAAGTTTAATACATGATTAAATACATGATAAAGTTTAATAATATCAAAAACTGTAGTCCTGAAATTTCTGAACTCCTGACTAAAAAAATGTTTTATCGTTATTTTTTGCTTTTTGTCCTCATATTTCTGATTTATTTGTACTAAGAACACCCCATTTTCTATGAATACTAATACGGTTTCTAAAGTAATCAGTTTGAATGATAGAAAAATTTGTATTTTCAATTTAATATTTTTTGTTTTTTTTAGTTCATGCAGAAAATTACTTTTGAAAACAAATGTGCATATTTACTGTGCTTTCGTTTCAAAATTATTGCCACCCCTCTTCAAAATGATTTATCTAAGAAATCATGAACTTAGTTGCAAATTTTAAATAAATATTGGTATGAAAGAATATTAAATAATTGATACTTATTATTTTTTAATGCACCAATTCAATGTACCAATAAAACTTTTTAATTATTGATCTTTTATGACATGTTTATTAAAAGAATTCAACTGGAAAAATTGTTAAAACTTTTTATTTAAAACAAAGAAACTCTGTATATAATAAAAGTATTTTTCTTTGTGGTTAAAATTGACCCTTGTTGTACTTATGTTGAGAAAACTATACCTTCTTTTATTTTGTTTGCATTTTTAAAAAAGTAAACTAATATATGTATATTGTTTCAAAACATGTCCTGGTTTCTTTTTTAGCCTACTGTGACCTGCAATGTGCTTATTAAAATAATGAAAATGTGGTAAATTAAATCCCAGGTTGGCAAAAATCATGATTAAAAAACCAAAAAAGATTTGTTACATTTAAATCAGATTTTTTCACTGACTAAAACATCTAATAAATTGTTTTAATGATATTTAACATTATTTAAAACACTAAAGTAGCTAAATGGTAGTAAACTAATAGCTAAAATAGTTAACATTTCTGGTGATGGGTAAAACGATGGGTTTCAAAGATGGGTAAAACCATTATTTAAGTATTAAGAAACTAATCATTGAAAAAATAAAATCATAGTTATATTTTTCAAGCTCAATGTGATAATGAATGTTAAAGATTAGGATACTATTTTTCAGTTAGTAAGACTAAATTAAAAGTATTAAAAAGATTAAATTAGTTAATATTAGAAAACATCTATTTTAAGTTACTTTTGGGTTGAACAAGTCTTGATATATGTATGCTATTTATACAAATTGCATTTAAATAAGCTTTAAACTAAATGTGTGTAATTGAAACATGCTTTTTTGGTCGCAAGCTATTTTGTTGAATTCCAAGCGTAACAGAGGGAAATCACACAAGTATATTTTATTCTGAAAAATATACTTAATATTTCTGAAAACAAAATATATATGCTGGGCAATTCCATATGTGACGGAATGACATTTTGACTTGCAAAATAGCAGTTAATTGAAGTTTCTATGCATCTAATTTCAAATAAACATTGTTTTTTCTCATGCATATCATTATTATTGGCATAATGCTATTTATAAACTTTTAAAAAAAAGGATTTTCCATTTTTTTAAAAAATTTTATATACTTTTTATTTGTGTGACGGAATGACATTTTGGCAACCAAGCTTTTGGCATGCCGCTTAGAACTGGTAGTTTCTGTGAATTTTGCAGCTATTATTTTTCTGAACTATTTTTTACTTTTAGTATGTGTAAGCAACGTAAAGTGTGAATTTGGAAAATTAATCTCAGGTTGGCCAGCAGTTATTAGTATCTGTTTGCTGTGACGGAATGACCGTGACAGAGTGGCAAAAAGTTTAGTGGAAGAAAGTCTTCATTTAAAAAAGGTTTTATTAATGTGTAAATGATAAACAGAATATAACAGATAAACAGGATTAATATGTATATAACCGATAAACAGAATTAGTAAAAGTTTCAACAATTTTAAAATTAGCTTGTCTTTGAAGAGGTTTTATAAGTAACTTGCCAATGTCACATCTTATCTTCTTTCTCAGGAAATTTATGCATAAATCAATTTTTGTCCCATCTTCTTTTTAGAACTTTAACATCTAAATCGTCTTTATCTATCAAAGTAATTTGCGTTGCATGTAAATGCTCCTTCTTTTTACCGCAGTATGGGACAATGATTAAAGAGCCGACCGCATACTCCTCAGTCATGTTTTCCATTTCCTCATCAAAACAGTGGCCTTTCAAATCATACACTTTGTTTTGGTTAAAATTAGAAAACATTCTAATTTTTATGATTCACTTCTCAACTACACGAACGTCTAGTGCCCGTCTCTTGTCCCTCTCCATGATGCTGTAACAAGTGACCAGCTGAAGTCATTCTCTTTTGCCCTCTCTGCTGGACAAAATCAAAACTTCCACGATTTGTTACTTCGACTTTATGAAATCCTTTTGCATATATTAGGTGCCGTTTTAAAGCAGCTAACAGCGTTTGCACATCTAACTCTTTTAAGTCCAGCTTTTGTCATGTAAGCTTTCTTCTTTGCCTTGCTTTCTCTGTCTTTTTTTTCCATCATATCATGGGGATCTTGCTCCTTTTCAACATTCTATCTGTCTTCCAATGATTCTCTAGTTTTTGAATAAGCTTCTCTAGGACTCGTTTTATCATTCCATCGCCGAAGATGTGTCATTCCGTCGCACAAATGATTGAAAGTTAATAATCAAATGCGTAAAATTTTATCTCTCATTGATTCTTATGCCATATCTGCTTAATATTCCAAAATATATACATTTTCATTTTGAAATGCAGTTGCTATTTAAAAAAAATACTAAAACATGTGACGGAATGACACAAAAAAAGTTAATTTTATTTTATATATTAAACTTAAAATGACCTAAAGACTGTTTTAAATGTTTAAATTTTGTACTATATGCATAATTTTATCAAAATATTGCAGAAGAAAGATACATTTCTTTTCTTTTATAAGTGTTTTTCAAGAAAACAATTTGAGCACAAATGTGAACAATTCACCTGTCAGCCATGTGATTACTTTAGAAAGCTTCAAAAAAGTTAAAATTATCAAAAATGAAACAGGAATATGCAGACTTTGACTATTTTTGAACATAGTTTTAAAATCAAAATATGCAATTCATAAAAAAAAAAATTTCATTTAAAAGTTGATACTTTCATAGAATTGCCCTGCTACTTTAGGGTGCAATATTTAATTAATTGGCACAAAATAATAAAAGAGACTCATAATTAAATTGCAAGTTAATTAAAAGTATTTGTAACAGAGGGGACAAATAAAATCACACTTTTTAAGCATGCACTGTTATTTACATTAAATTCTGTGATTTCTACCATCCTAAACATTATCTGTAAATTTTTTTTAAAATTATAACATTTTAACATAAAATAAATTATTATGAGACTTTTAAAATTACAAACACATTTTAAGTCCTAATAATATGTCTTAAGTGGACATGAAATGTAACAAAGGGGACGTCTTACAAATTTTACAAATAGTTGAAGAGAAATATTATCACTGTCAAGAGTGACTCTTCAGTTATTTAAAGTTGGAGTTGGCAGCACTGTTATAATAACTGACTAGTGAACTCATGCTACATTATAGTACATGTAGTTTTATTAGAAAGTTTTTGTTTTAGAAGACCGTGCTTAAAAAA